CTGGCGTGTCACTGTGCAAATTGGAGTCTGTATTGATATTTAAGCCTATACCTGCCTGGGTTTCTACCTTCTATGTCTTTCATCTGTTAAATCCCTTACCAGGCTCGGCTGCATGTCCCTTCTTCCCTTGACCCATCATCCCAGCTGTATTATCTTCAGATCCACCGGATCCATGGCGTAATCATTATGGCTACCCTATTATGGGTACACTCATCAGGATCCAGGTCGCTTGGATCCACTTCACTTGAAAGTGTACACTCGTCGTGGACCTGAGCTCTCCACTCATCCAACATCATCTCGCAACCGTCTGTGATCTCCACTGTCCCACGAAAGCTCTAGATCCACTGCATCCATCATACCTATACCCTGGATCCAGGTCCCTTAAGGCGGGATCCTCCCTCCTTGGATCCTAACTCGAAAGCATGGGATCCGGGTCACCTCGTGGTGGATCTTGACTCCTCGTTAGCCGTGGCTACTAGATCCACTTTAGAGGGCACCTACCATCCTTCCTTCATAGGATCCACACCCGATCCACTCTTGTATAGTATATCCCATATCCATTTAGGTGAATCCAAGTAAGGGTGGATCCGAGGTAAGTCTTGGTGGATCTTGCCTTCTCGTACATCGCTCATACCAGATCCATCGTCACTTCATACGGGGCGCTGCTCGTCATGGCTAATCCACCACCGGCAACTTGCATCCGTGCCAGCCAACCCAAATCCTTTCTAATCACTTGAAATTGTCATTGATTCGGGATAGTGACCCCGCGTCAGGCCCATTCTCTTATTTCTGAGAAAGCACTTTACCACAAGATCGTTCAAAGCCAACCATTGGCTAAATGACATTGCATTTCTATAGGTAACTAATAGTTTGTATTAAACCCAAACTTAACCTACCTATAAATATACTCAGTTTACAATCTACCTTATTTAGGTCACTTCGCTCTCTTTAATTAAAGAGGGGACCTGTGAACTGCCGTTCACTGAGAGTTTGTAAACTCTCGGAAGATAACTTTCTCTAGCGCAAGGTGCTGTGTGACCCCGTCACAATGAGAGCGTTGACCAAGCTCAAGTCACAAGTTCGTAGCGACCACATGCAGCGAGATCGGCAGGAGGTGAGGGCACACGCCGCGATTTCGCGGCCCTCCACTCGCAGATTGCTGCTGGACGACGTCATACGACAGAAGTGATGAGAGAAATTCGGCGTTTACGAGAAGAACTTCAACGCGAGCAACAAAAAACACAGGTAGTATTAAGACGATTGGTAGACCAAGGAACTTTCACCAGAGGAGCTGTGCCAAATGCTGCCCAGAACAGCCCAGCAGTGACATCAACTACTCGACGTTTACCCGGAGCCAGACTCTCAAAGCGGCCCAAGGATCGGTACGAGCTACGGCATGAGTATCAATTCGGGTGCGGCGAATTAAAAGCAGCGAATGACTTCACAGCCATTGAATGAGGCGCAAACAAGTTCGCATTCTCACGGAGAAAAGTGTTTTGGGACGTCGTGTCAAAGCTGGTTCGGTCGGGTTTCACGAGTGACACTGCGATTTACAAAGTTTATACTGTTTATGGTAAGCAGCTTTCAGTAATTAGCATCCTAGTAGCTTTACGAAAGGACCGAAATCGAGGTGGGCATCCGGGCCTTCAACACAATCATTTCAACCAATCCAATCTGAGTAGCACGTTTAGTTGCAAAAAAAGGCATGCATTCTAACAGTACATGTACAAAAAGTGTAAGGAAACGCTCCTCCCCTGTCGGATATGATTGCATTGTCTTTTGCAGGGGAGGGGGGAGATTTTGTGTGGAGCCAGCTGTGTCAGTCGAGCGTGGATTTGTGCGGCTCGCGTTTCATTTCGGAAGAGGACAAGCAGAGACCCCCTGCTAAAGATGGCTGTGCTGTACAAGGACCTGGCCAAGACGGCGGAGAATGTCCTGCGCGATGACTACGACTTTTCACGGAAGCTCAAGATCAAAAGCAAGGCGTCGAACGGTGTGTCGTTCACAACAGAGGGCGCCCTGAACGGCAACAAGTCGATCCTTGCCAAGGTCTCCGGCGGCTTCACGCACGGTGCCAGCGGCGTTGTCTTCAAGAAGCTGCAGATTACCACTCAGGGCCGCGTGGTTACGGAGGCTGAGCTGCCTAACGTGCTGACTGAGGGTCTTAAGCTCACTTTCAAGCTCGAGGATGGCTCTGTCGCGAAGAACACGAACGCGAAGCAGGTGGGCGTGCTCGGTGCCGAGTACAAACAGAAGAACCTGGCCGTAAACTCGGAGGCCGATTTCGTGTCCAACACGGTCTCGGCTGCGGCCGTGCTCTCGCAGGGCGGCTTTGCCGTTGGTGGCCAGACTGCGTTCAACGTGGACAAGTCGATCATCGTGCAGCACAACTTTGGCGCTAGCTTCACGGGCGCTGACTTCGTCACGTCACTCGTGACCAAGAAGAACTTCGCCGCCCTTCAGGCCTCGTTCCACCACCATCTGTCGCACAACACGGTGTACGCCGCCGTGCTGGACTACGACCTCAAGTCGGCCTCCAACACGCTCGTTGTGGGTGGCCGATACAAGGCCGACGCCGACACCACGTACTGCGGTAAGATCGATTCGGAGGGTTTCCTTTCGCTTGCCTCCATCCAGAAGGTGCGTCCGTACGTCACTCTGACCACCAGCGTGCACGTGGACGCCAAGAACTTCGAGGGTGACTCGCACAAGTTCGGTCTGGGCTTGACGCTAGGCTAAGCCTGCAGCTTGGCCCGCCGGCGGATTCTGCCGTTGTCTAGAAGAGATCAGTTTATAGGCATCTCAAGCAGAGAGAATCGCGAGAAGAGGCGGGAGAAGAGAGGTATAAGCAAAAAGAGAGCACGTTTCTTGTGGAGTACTCAACCATTGCAGTATATGTATGCTCTTCGTGGACATGTTGCCTTGAACCCACGATGGCCACATGGCACTACTGTAGTCGGTCTGCTGTAGCATTTCGGGCTCTCATTTGTGTGCATCGACACAAAGCACCACATTCCTGCCACTTCAACACCACCTGGAAGGACAAAACCGAGTCTATTTCTTGAACTACATGTATGGCAACGCCGTTATTATTAATAATGTGGCGCGTGCATCGTGTCATTTGCGTGCGCGTGTGTCTTTATGTGTACAGTACTTGAAGTGATAAGCTAAAGTGTACTACTGTACTAGTATTACATCAGCATGAGCTACTACGTAGTATATTTTGTCTGCCGAGCGAGCTCTCTACGCTTTCGCTCGCGCTTCAACGTTCGAGCGCCGCTGTTTGCCTACGCGCTCCAGATAATCCACGAAGGTGAGTTCGTCGCTGTCACCAAAGAGCTGCTTCATGCGCATCTCGAGCTGCGACTGGCCGTAGCGCGCAAAGAGGATGGCCATAGTGTCGTCTGCAGTGATGACTCCACAGTTTTTCTTGTCGTACGTCATGAACTGGACGACGTTGAAGAGATTGGCTGGCTCCAGCTCCGTCTTGTCCAGCAGGTTGCGATTGAACATGGCGCGCAGTTCCTCCCAGTCGATTACACCGTCCAGATTCTCGTCGGCCTCCCAGATCATATCACTGACCTCCTTCTTCGAGCATACTTTGCCCAGAGCCTTGATAGCCTCGTATAGGTCTTCGTTCTTGATCACACGACTGTGGGCGTTGCTATTCTGCACCACAGAGCGATTGACTACGGCTTTCTCTAGACTCTGGTTGATTATACGAAGCTCGTCCTCGATCTCCTCACGAGTCATTTTGATTCCTTTCTCGTTCAGTAACGCAGACACCTCCGGACTGCTCTTGCTTGCCTCCAACCGCTGGCGTCGCTCTTTGCAGTCGTATATCGTGTGTGTCAATCTCTTCTTCTGGCGGTAGGAGCTGAGATGGTCGAAAACTCGACGCAACTCGCGCTCCTCCTGGGCGATCATGCCCTTGACGTCGTCATTTGCAGACATCATGGTTCTCGTGTATTCAAGTTGGGGACCCTCTCCACAACTGCAAAGCAAAAAGCTAATTGCAAAAAAGCGAGAATTATTACACAAATAAACGGATTCCGGCTACATCGCTAAATATGTGAAGGCGGACTCGCAGCAGTTTATGTCACAGCACCAAGCTGTAGGGCCTGTATTTGTCTCTATTTAAGCATCATCGGCATCTTCCACAAGCCGAGACACCATAGCGTCAACTTTGCTGAGAGACATCGCCTCAGAGTTCATGATGGCGTTAGAAATGATCGTGATATTCTTCGTAGTTTTGGCGTGTACCCACACAACGCCATTCACTCCAACAGCCACCTCAAAGGCCAGTTTCTTGCCCAAAGACGCCAGCACCTGGCAATCTTCGTGTAGTAGCGATTTTGCTAGGCCGATGGATGTCTTAAATACGTAACCATCGTTCAACTCACCGTAGATGGCCAAGCCAGTCATCCAATCCTTCTTGGTCACACTTGGAGGAGCTTAAACAATATAATTCCAGCCACATAGAATATTAGCCCACTACAAAACGACCCCCAGTTGGCTTAGAGATGAAGACGCACCTTCACAAGTGATTTCAGGCTCTACGTCCGCGTTGGTCTTGCTCACGCGAGCATACACAAGAGATCCGAGACGAAGACTCGGACGGTTTCTCTTTGTTGCGCCATCAAACGCTAGGGAGCCTAAAGTAGCGCTAGCACTGAGCAGTACCGCAACATGTGGTGTTAGCCGCACTCCGAGCAGAGTCTTTGAATAACTTACGCAGCTCCAATGTTCACGCGGTAGAACTCAGCGTTGCGGTCAGTCAGGATGCCAATAACCCCGTCGTCTATCGACGCAGTATACTGCCCACCAAACAATAACAATTAGTCAGCTACCATAGCGCGTGCCAGTAGCAGTTGACCCAGCGTACGCGCTTGTGGTTAAACTCAACCCAATATCGGTTGGCTGGTCGATAACGGAGAATACCCGCATTCGTGCACACAATCCGCTCATCTGGTAGCTGCTTTAGCCCGGAGCCTACTCAAACACATACAATAGTGAGTCAGTAGTTGGTGATAACTCTCATAGCTTTACTCTTCCATTCAGTCGCACCTAGTTTGACGCGATGGTTCGTCTTAGTGAGCGTGGCCGTAACGTCATCGCCTGGCAGCACAATGACCGACGAGAAGAGGAAATCTACGGAGCGTTGGGCTTCCTCCAGGAAGCTGATGGCGTCTGCATCGGCAGAGTCCTCCTCCGCCTTGCGCTTGTTTCGCTGCTGCATCTTGTTTGTTTTACCTACATAGTTCTGGTTCGTATTCAGTTAAGTGCGACTTGCAATCGCACTGGTTGGTAGGTAGGCAGCCATGTGGTGAGGGTCTCGAGATGGTTAGTGCATTATGCACCACCATTCAATATGAGACTGCTCCGACTGCAAAATTATGAGCACCGCCTTTCGTGCATTGCCAGCCTCATCACTTCAACCACATACTAACACCACTTACCGCCCGTCAAGCGAAGTCCTTTTAACTTAGAAACGAAAGATGCCTACATTATCTGTCGCACCTCTTTCGAGTGGAAACTCCAGAGCTCTGCCTCCTTTCAAGCCGCTACACAATTTCACACCCATCGCGATTCAACAGCGCTCTTCTGCATCAGCGGGCTTTATTTTCCCGCTCATTTCGTAGGGATTACTCCAAGCGCAAATATTACGGGCGACCACGTCCCCGCCCACGGCCTCGGCCACGCCCACGCCCGCTTCCAGCTGGAGCACCCGCCTTCACCTTTTCACGCGGAGTGTCGTCGATCAGCAGCGTGTCCAGATTCAGCGAATCCGGCAATATATAGTAGCGAATGTTGTTGCCACGGATGCTGAGCGAGTCCAGATTCACTGGATTCTTGCCCTTGACGGTCATCTTGACCGCCTTTAGGTGTGTGTTCATGCTGATGTCCACCCCTACCGCGCAGCAAAAAGTACCAGGTAGGGCCATCGCGCCACACAGACAGTTTAGCCAGCTATATATGTAAGCAGTAAACATTTCTCAGCATGTATGCATCCGCACCAGTGATCGTTCCGTGCACGAGCGTTCCGTTTTTAAGCTCAATGGTGACCGTCTCATTTGACAGCTTCATCAAAAATCTGCGGGGAAAGATGGGCAGAGAGAAATGCCAACAGTTAGTACATTGGAATACGACGTGCGAAGGACGGGAATATGATGCGCCTCCAGTGCGGCGTGAACGCACCTAACAAGCTTCATGGTGGCTCGCCGTTCGCCGATCTGAAAAATAGTTTGGGACTCTAATATTAAAAAATAGGAGCAAATCTAAATTATGTGGACCACGAAACAAATCTCATGACTACGATTTAGAAATGTGTGTTGATTGGGTTGAAAGCAAGAAAGAGATAATGTTGTAACCCAGTTGAACTTTGCGTTAGTTATACTGGGAATAAGTAATGGACAGCCCACACAGGATTAATTGCGTGAGCGTAACGTAAATGGGTCAACGTTCGGACAACATCCAAAATATCGTACTTAGTATGTGATTAGACTGGAAAAAGCAAAAAGACGTTATTCTTTCGGTTTGTAAATCTGCGCCAGTGGCTCCGTCAGCGGCGACGTTGGTGGCGGTGAGAGCGCAGGCGGCGATGGCAGCAGCGATGTAAGTCTTTATTATTGAGTTGGTTAGTAGAAGAAGTGGAGAAGCAGATGATGGTTTTTTGAGCGGGCTAATGCTAACGTTATTCTTTCGGTTTGTAAATCTGCGCCAGTGGCTCCGTCAGCGGCGACGTTGGTGGCGGTGAGAGCGCAGGCGGCGATGGCAGCAGCGATGTAAGTCTTTATTATTGAGTTGGTTAGTAGAAGAAGTGGAGAAGCAGATGATGGTTTTTTGAGCGGGCTAATGCTAACGTTATTCTTTCGGTTTGTCAATCTGCGCCAGTGGCTCCGTCAGCGGCGACGTTGGTGGCGGTGAGAGCGCAGGCGGCGATGGCAGCAGCGATGTAAGTCTTTATTATTGAGTTGGTTAGTAGAAGGAGTGGAGAAGCGGATGATGTTTTTTTGAGCGGGCTAATGCTAACGTTATTCTTTCGGTTTGTCAATCTGCGCCAGTGGCTCCGTCAGCGGCGACGTTGGTGGCGGTGAGAGCGCAGGCGGCGATGGCAGCAGCGATGTAAGTCTTTATTATTGAGTTGGTTAGTAGAAGAAGTGGAGAAGCGGATGATGTTTTTTTGAGCGGGCTAATGCTAACGTTATTCTTTCGGTTTGTCAATCTGCACCAGTGGCTCCGTCAGCGGCGACGTTGGTGGCGGTGAGAGCGCAGGCGGCGATGGCTGCAGCGATGTAAGTCTTTGGTTTTTTAGCATCTTTTCGTCCATCCACTGAGCTAATTGGAGCAGATGCATGTGCAGCCGCCGTTGGATATACGTACCAGCAACAGCTAGCTCAAGATTTTACGTAAACATGAAGGAAAATGACCCTTACCGTTAAAGTAACAAATTGTTGTTTGATTTGACAAACTGTACGTAACGATAAAGGAAATTGACCATACAGTTGGAATCAACATCAACGGCAATCTGCAATTTACAGTCATGGCAAAACGACGATATGCCAATGCAGCTGAAGATGAGTTATCTTGTACAGGAAAACCTGATGCAATTCAGGCCACTGCAGCGCAAGAAACAAAGCGTCAACGAAAAGCTCAGTACCGCAACGGGACCTCCGATGAAGCTTGAACCTGACGTGAAGAGACGCAAAACCAGCTAAGCGTTGGCAGTTTTGGTTGATACCAAATACATTGCCCAGCCTTTAATTCTACTTTGCTATTGACAATTATGCTAACAACCGTATCAAAAAAAATTAGCCAACTTAATGTTGGCTTTCCGAACCTTTTTTGTCGAAGAATGTCTGGGATCACCTCCGCAGAGACAGCAAATGTCGACATATTTTTAAAAATATGTATTCCCAGTGTAAGTCGCAGACGATCTAGTTAGCGGTACTTTTGGAATGTTAGTGGTCCACATAAACCTTGCCAGAACGTTGCAACTTACTTGAAGTACGTGTTTACGAGTTCCGTTAAAGCCAGTGCCGTACGTCTTACTTTCCGTGGTGTGCTGCCGTCCGTGCTGTTGCTGCCCGTGTTGCCGCCGCGCCGGAGCCTTCAAGGTCGTGCATTTAGCTGCTGTGTTGAATGTTGTCTTGTAGAGCTGCATATCTGTAACGGGGTACGTACCCCAAGTGTACCCCTAGCTACATGAGGTGTGGCACGTCACACTTTGGGATATCTGGTACATGGTAACAGGGTCGTCCGAGGTCAATCATTGGCTGATGACATAGCTTTTCTATAGGTGACTTATAGTTTGTTTATTTAACTCAAGCTTAGCCTGCCTATAAATACATTCAGCTTACTGTGGTGTAGGGATTTCCAGATTCGACCATACGCCGACCTACTTTAGGTCAAGAATCGGCTCGGTCTGATAACCCAGAGCTTAGGAGCCAAGGATCACGGTAAGTACTCGGCGATCTGTCCGGATATGCTATCCGGACAGCCGCTGAGCTCAACGGTCGCCGGAACTCAGCTGAAGGGTCGGTAGAGATCCGAAACGACTACATTTCATTAGATATTTGTATGAGAAGCATAGGATTAAATAGGGGGAGCCGAAAGGGCTCCCAGAAGATAACAGAGCAGAATTTCCTAGTCCAAGACACGTGTACACTTT